GAATCTCAAGTCAAACCACTTTGTCACCACTTGAAGAACTTGTTAAATAAGAAAGGGAAATTTAGCAACTACATGAAAAAAGTGCATACAATACTGCTAAGTTCCACACTAATACTGAGGAACTGATGTTTGTCCCACCCACCCAAAATGACTGGTACAGCTGTTGAGTACAAAATGTCACATTGGCTGTAGATGCAACTGCCTACTTTGCTCTCTTTGACACCAGTCTCTTGACTCCATCAGTGGAAAGGTAAAACATTAATATTTCATTTTCATTCTACTTGACTAAATGCAGCATCATTAGGAAATGTGATGTGGATTCACACTAAGAAAGATATTAGAACTTTTTTTAACCCCAAAGAAAACATACAATGTATACTAAACTACTAAAGACAGAAAATTAAGAATACGTAAAGGAAAAATATATCTGTAAGAATGTGGATTATATGGCAGTACACATGAAAGTGCAAGGTCGCGGTTTACTGTGTTATCATGTTATAAATTTGACACTGGATGTGTGTTTGTTTTTCAGGATGAAGTGCGTTATGATCTTTCTTGTGTTGACGCTCGTCGTCCTCATGGCCGAACCCGGGAGTGTTTTTTTAAACACCTTAAATCTTTATGGCGCGGGGCCAAAGCTGCATTCAGAGGTGCCAGGATGGGATATAGAGGTAAATCATTAGTTTACATGCATTCTGTGTTGAATTCAGACCTATGATTTGGTATGAATTAAGCATGAGTATCACATTCTCAATTGTTTGCACTAACTAGCTATAAAGAGCTTCACTTAGGCCTGGGTTTTACTAAATCTGTTATTTAGTCCCGACATCTCAGCTGTATTTGCTGCAAAGCACTAAACCTAACCCAAAGTGAAGAGAGCATCATTAATGTGATCATTTGAAAAAAATTTAAATATGAATAAATTGACTGACTATGATAACAAGATATAATGTAATTTTCATCTTTTTGTCCGTTTAGCACACACAAACACAGTGAAGTCCCAGAGGTAAGCACTTCTGACAGTTGAAAATATTGCAACAAATGCAGGAAAAGTGTGTGTATTGTTTGGATTTATAACAACTGACCCCCAAAAATCCTGTTATTTCTGTTATCAGTTCATCTAATTAATCTCATTAATTTAATAATCATTTGATCTACAAGATCTACAAAATGTTACACATGAGAGAATCATACCTATCACTATTTCACCAAATGAATGTCTTCAAAAAAATGTTTTTGTCCAACCTATTCAAAATCAATTCATATCAAATGTGTTAAATAATAGAGAGTAAAGCAGACATATTTCAGAAGCTGAATTCATTGAATTTTTGTCATTTTGGCTTGACAAGTGATTGTAAAAGTTACTTAATTATTAATATCTGTAATTGCCTTCTCAAACTAGGTATGCATTGAAGAACCAACAAAGAGGCCAAGTGGACGACGATCAAGATCAGCCATATTGGCTGGACTGAATCAGTTGATCCTGAAAACGTGGTTCAAGCTCTAGCTTTCTGCTTGGCAATGCAAGAAACAAACGGATGAGTAAACAAACCTGTAATCTTGAGTTTACATGAAGCACTTGAGATGAGAAGTGATTCTCGGTACCGCTGCAATTGGTTTTGAAAAAAATGCAAAATAATGTTAAAAAATATAACTGTCCTGCTGAATAAAGCTGTAATGCAACAAGATAAGTGGTTTTCTGTAAGTGAATAAGTCCCTGTAATTGTATACCAAGATTGTCAATGTTAATGAAGAATAATGTTTTTGATTCAGTCCTGGGTAAATGGTTAGATTGGTTAGATCTGATCTGCTGGTGATCACTTCATCCGGTGTACTCGTGTCAATGATAAAGAATCACGAGTCTTTGGGAATTACGTAATTCTGGCAGGAGGTATAGTTGATGTCTCTGTCAGAAAGAAAATTATAACATTGATCACAATTATGAATGGCAAAAGAAATAATTCATAATCATGACGATTCATGTTATTCACAATCACTGCATGATGGATGAATGTTAAAAAAGAATCACGATGTCCAGTCAGCAATGACAATGTTCACAAGTGGTTGAGGGATGGGTGCAGATCACAGATTATGGCTTCGACTCGTGATTATTTGTGATGTATGAGCTGATTTTTTTATTAATAATTTGCTCTATAAAACATCAAGTGGGAAAAATATTCAGTACAATTAACTGTCTTTTCTTGTACAGTCCAACAGCCAAATATATTAAATGTGATATAATGTAAGACTCTTACATTATATCACATTTAATATATTTGGCTGTTGGACTCTATTTGCCCATATAGTAAATAATATATAAAATCTTGGACATTATTAGTACATTAATGACACTCAAGATTGTCAATGTACAGATTATTTAAAATTATTATTAGATTGTGTTTAGGAGCAAGATAATAATATAATACCTTCATTTCTTTATGTGTTTAGATGACATCCCTAACATCCCCGAAGCAGATGTATTCAGAGTAAGGACTTCTGATTAGTGTTACATTAACAGCTAGAAATCTGAGCAAAACAATTAAGCTTGTACTGAAAAAACATTGAATACAACCTAGCTTTGTGTAAACTTTCCTCGAACCAGGAATGGCCCCAACCAAAATAAAAGTGAAAAGCTGAACATTTGCAGATTGTCTCCTCAAAAGACATGGATATGATAAAAATAGGACTGATTGCAGACAACCGCTGTGAGCAGTGAATTATGTATAAATGTTAATCACGATTTTAATAAAGTGTAAGCTTATTTTATTTTAATCTTCAGAAAATGAAACCAAATAGACAAACTGGGAGAAGACTCTTTTCCTCTCCACATACTTAGGCGGTTTGAATCTCCATTCAAGTAGCTACTCGCATTATGTGAGTATATCATTATACTTCCAGAAAATAACTTGGAAATCATAAAAAAAGACGCCCTCTTTTAACTGCAGAACTTGCCTGACAATCTTCACGTTTTAAAATTTTCCTTTGGTATGAAAGTAAACCAGCGATAGTTGTATGTAAATCCATGGGTACATCACAAACAGGAAGTGCTAATAGCTAATACGACATTCTCTTAATGGTGCCAATTTGCCAAACCAACAGCGTACATTGTAGTTTATGATAGTGTGTATAACATCTCTTGTCTTTTCGCCGCAAAGCCATAAACCCAAAATAATGAGCTGAAAGGAATGAGCTGCCGTTTCGTTGTCTTTCACGAGATCATTAAAACATGCGTATAGATGCTTTTTTTTACACAAGGATTTGTTCCAACCAATAAGTGGCTCTAATATGAATTTCCAATGTGATGTTATTGATGGTTAATATTTAGCATGTGAGTAAACCACCTGCCTCTTCCCTTCACTAAATCAGCAAGATTAGCCTCAGAGAGAGGAGTCCAGGCAAGCTGAGGTGTCAAAGATAGGGATGATTGATCTTTCTCACAGTCGCCTGAAAACAACCCAAAGGGCATCACGGAGCAACCCTGAAAATGACACCTGAAGCCCCCCCCCCCCCCCACCCCCATAGAATAAAACAAACACACACCAACCGATCGAGCAAAGTTTGTTTTGGGCAGATGGGGCTTCGCTTAAAACATATTGATTGGAAATGAGATGTGGTCAGAGGACGGATGAGGTTAGAAAGGTATGTGTGTGTGTGTGTGTGTGTGTGTGTTTTTTACCGCGTGTGTCTGAGGGTCAACCGTGTCACTGGCACTGGTTGTTTACCTAGAGGCGATTGCTGGCCTCACACACCCAGACAGAGAGGATAAATAATAGAGGAGCTATGACAGAGGGCAGGCACACACACAAACACAGATCAGCATCAAGGTTAAAGATGGGCGTGGGTGAAATGGGAGAGCTCTTTGTCGACACGTCACTTGCATGTGAGGGAGGGAGGGAGAGCGGAGACAGTCATGTAGTCAGCGTGGATCCCGACATCTGCATATCAAATGCGAGAGAGGTCTCCACGTCTCGATGACAGTTCTGTCAATATGATTTCAGCCGCATCGGAGAGTCAGGTGACTCCCCTCTCACTTCCTCGCATTACAGACGTTCACCATTCACATAAGCTGTTGAAGATCAGATATAACAATAACAGTAGTGTGGTTTTGGAAAAACCTCGACAAAGAGATGCTTCACTGTTCGATGTTTGAGCAATTTGAAGAGATGAGAAATGATGATGGCTATTTTTCTTAATTGTTTGATATTTTATAAGCATTTTATAATCCATTAATATTAGACAATAGTCAACATATTAATCAATAAGGAAAGAAATACACTATGCGCAGCTCATTATTCAAATGTTTCCTGCATTTAAATTTCTAAATTAAAATTACTTTTATTTCAAAGCAGTTTGATGAGAATCATACTGGGAGGAAAGAGCTCTGTACGTACAGTAAAATAAAAAATAAAATGTTTTCTTGATCTGGAGTGGCCTCTTAATACAGGCCTGGTGTGAGAAGTCATACAGGGCAAACAAGAAAGAACGGGCAAATATGTCATCAATTACAAAAGCTTCAGCACAGGAACAACATCACAATCCCTCTTGTTGTAGCTCACTTTTATATTCTCTGCCTCCTCTCGAACTCACTCCGAATTAGTAATAATAGCAACAATCACAACATCAAGGTTTGACTTTGTGAAGCGATGCATATATGCATATATACTGTATATATTTACCTAAATGTAAAGCAATGTCCTTGAATCCCTGAGATTACTGCTTTTGTAATTTAAAGTTTGTGTGTGTCCTTATCTCATGTATTTATTACAATAGTATGTCATGAATAAATAGTCAGTAATATATCAATACAAACAAATATATACTATTATTATTTAATGTTAAGTACAAGTATAACATCTTGATAGCTGGACCAAAGAAATCCTACACGCTGTTAACACGCAATAGACACATATATTCTATATTCATTTTACCCAATGAAGGTGTGAAGTGCACTTCAGGCTTTTACACACATATTATTAAGCCTGATTACTTTGTTTGGAGGTGGAACTTAATAATTTGTTAATGCCCACTGTCGTGCATCAGCAACCAGATGTGCTGCTGATAAAATTCAACTAAATGACCACAATGTGTACATTTCTTGCTGTGTGTCTGAACACAGTCACACTTTTGCAGATGGCTCAAATACCGCTTGACCCAATGCAGCCTTTTATTCAGAGAAGTCGCCTTGCGGATGGTTGTTCATGTCACCTTGAGAGCTGCATCTAACAAAAGAACGTAAACACCACATACAGTGAAAGTGCAAAGTGAGGTTGGGCCATGGAGAAAAACATGCAGAAGTCGTGAGGAAGAGGAGTGCAAGGAAAAGAGTGTGTGTGTACCGATCAATATGGTGGATGTCACCAATCTCCCAAGTAGTTGCCAAATGTGGATAAAATCCCCCAGAACAATTCTCTCTCTCTCTCTCTCTCTCTCTCTCTCTCTCTCTCTCTCCTCAACACAGACAGTTTGACAGGTAGGCAGCTGACAAACAGGCATTAAAAAGAGACTGATATACACAGTGGATATCTATAAACACATCAAATATACAGTATGTAGCCCTTCAAATTGTCTGTCTCGCTGCCTCGAGGACCTAAATAAAAAACACTGCTTATTTTCTTTTAGACATCCTGACTAAAATTTTTGTTTGTGGCTGATGGATTTGTTTTCTTGTCTGTGTTTGTTTATTTGAACCAAGGAAAACTGCAGGTTGGGAACGTTTCAACGGTAAAAAGTTCTTCAGCTGATGTGTGATACAACATTTCTCCTCGTTCTGTTGAAGGGGGATGTTCCTATCTTGCAACATAAACACCAACTATCTATTTAAATGCCATAAGGAAGCAAATGAGTACCTTCAGGGCAGAGCTTCAAGCTGTATTTTACTTTGTTAAAATTCAGCAAACAAAACTATGTTTTCTGATGAATTGTATTCAACCCTGTCGCCTAGAAAATTACGTTCACATACCAGATGACGGTCGCCGTTTTAAACATGTGGTTAACGTTCGGTTTGGAAAAGAAAAATCATGGTTTGGCTTAAAATAAGGATGTTTGTTACATTAACTTTAACACTTCAACGTCTTCACGGCCATGCCGTGAGAGCAACACATCAACAGCTGCAGTCCTCTGGTGCTTTCCTGACATTTACATAAAGACAAAATGAAAAATGATCGCAAGCTGCAGCCCTAACACGCAAAAGAAGAGACATATGAAGACACACAGGCAGATGCACACACACACACACACACACGCATGTAACGGTTCAAACTGACGGCGAGTTAACCATTGGTAACAAGAATCTGGGCTCCCCGTCTCTAAAGTGGTCCTGTTTATATGATAAAGTGCCTGAGCGAGGCATTAAGAGAGACAGACAGAACAAGACTTACTTCTTTTCTTCTGTCAATCCACCAAATCCATACAGAGAGAGAGAGAAAGAGCTGTCGGCTCAGATCAAACTCGAGGTCTAACAGAGAAATAGCTGTGATCCCAGTGATCTTGTTACAAACCTCCTTACAATGCAGCAAACCCAACATGGCAGATTCTTCTTAATCCAAAACTCATAAAATGAGAGACAGTCACAAATGGGGGTCAGGACCTGCTGCTTCACACCGCAGGATTAAACCTATGAAGCATAGCAATAACATGACCGCCTCTTTGTTGAATGGAAACAATCTCACACAGGCATTA